AGAGAGAGAGAGAGAGAGAGAGAGAGAGAGAGAGAGAGAGAGAGAGAGAGAGAGAGAGAAACCTCTCCTGAAATGAGGCTTGCTTCAGAAGAGAAAGTTGCATGGTAACATGAAGAAGGAAGATTCCAGCTAGAACAGCGTGTCTTTCCTTACATGTGAACGTACCTTCCAGGCTAGATATGAAACCCTGGAATGTAGTCAGCGTTCCAGTGAACAGCACGCTTATGGTGCCAAGTTTCTGCTGAGACTGTCAGTGAACTTTGGCACTTATTTCTGCCTAGGTTGATAAGCTAGGCTTTGTGTTGTGGGGACTTGTGAATATCCAAAGTTGTAGATAACTGTGGAGGTTTCATTCAGTTCTTTTGTTAATTTTTCAAAAAAATAGATTTTTTTATTGATACTGTCAGTGTTTCCTGTGAATATGTTGGTTTTTTTTTCCTTCTCACAAAAGAAGAAAAAATTAATAGGGCAAGAACAACTTTGAGGAGATTCTTTGTTCACGTGAGGCCTTTTGCAGGTTTGAGTGACGATGAAATTGTTCTGCTTATATTCTTTCTTTGGAAATACCTGTCCTTACGTCTGTGATGCCCTGCACTGCATGGATAACAGTGCTCTCTCAGTCCATTCTGAAGTCCTACTGTTTGCACTTGGATTCAGATTCTTTAGTTCCCCTTAAACGATTCTTTCCTTGTCGTTCTGTCTTCTAAAGACTGTCACAGTAAACTTCTGTAAACTCATTAATTCTCTGTTAAAAATTTTTTTTGCACTTTCTTTGAAATTTAAAATATTTTAGTGGACCCCCAGGGATTAGGTATTCTAGGCAACCACTCCACCATGGAGACACATCCCCTACTCTGAAAATTTCTTTTTATGTAACACTTTTTATACAATATGTTTTATCATATTTCCCTTCTCCCACTCCTTCCAGATCCTCCCCCACTTTCCTACCCACTCAATTTCAAGTTCTTTCTCTCTCAGAAATAATAGCCACAAGAAAAACTGAACCAACCAACCAACCAACCAACCAACCAACCAACCAACCAACCAACCAATAGCACAAGTATAACAACAACGATAAAGCCCAAACAAAACAAAACACACACAACAGAAAGCCATGGAGTCCATTTTCTGTTGACCGTCTATACCTGGGCATGAGGACTGCCCTAAAGTGTGGTCGGTAATACCCAGTGACAATCTCTTTCCCGTAGATATCAATTGCAAATAGCTTCTTGGTTAGGAGTGAGATCTTGAGTTCATTTCTCTCTCAGTGCTGGGTCTCATCTGGCTGAACCTGTGCAGGCCCTGTGCATGCCGACATAGTCCTCTGCGTTCATATGTGCATCAGTCTTGTTGGGTCTGGAAGACACAGTTTTCTCTGAGCATTGAGGAATACATTCCATGTAGGCCTGAGTGTTCTAGAGTCTCTTGTTCTCTGCACATTGTCCCATTTATTGTAAGAAGAATCTTCCCTGATGAGGGTTGATGGAGCCACTGATCTATGGTTACAGCAATGTCATTAGTAATCATTTTATTGTTAAGTCCTTTTTGTGGAATAATAGTATTAGGTTTTTCTCTAAGGAAAACCACTCCATGAGATAGAGCCCTTCCTGACACTGCTAAAGTAGCTAAGAACCTTTAAAATTTTTTGAGACCGAATAGTGCATACTGTCTGTGAGCCTTACTATATAGCTCTGGCTGGCATCCAATTTACAGTCCTTCTGTCTTAGCCTCCCATGTAGCCACCGTACCTGCTGGTAACTCCCCACTTTATACAGACAATTTCCAAACTTTTGGCCTAGACTTCCATGGTCATCCAGTTAGCTCCACTTCAAGCTATCTTATCTTATCTCATCTATCTCATCTATCTCATCTATCTATCCATCCACCCACCCACCCACCCACCCATCCATCCATCCATCCATCCATCCATCCATCCATCCATCTATCTATCTGTCTATATATCTATTTTATTTCTGTCTCACTAATTTATCCCACTCTGGTCTTACTGGTCTGGTCAGCATATCTTAAGTGAACACAATCCTTCTTCTTCTTTTTTTTTTTTTCCCACTCCAAAGCCTGTTTGTAGTCTGACTGGCTTTAGATCCTGCCCTATTCCTAGTTACGAGGTTCTCACCAGATGGTTGACCATGTTTGTTCTATCATGAAATCTTTGCTGTCTTCTTTGTGTGTTTTCATTTGCTGCAAACAGCCACAGTGGATAGATTCAATTTTTCATGGAAACTATGGCATGGAAAGCTAGGAGAACTTGGAATTTTAAGCTCAGATTTGGAAGTCTTCAGCAGGCATAGCTGTTGCTATCTCAATTGTTTATTGGAAGCATAAAGGAAAAGCTCATATCTGCTCCCCCAGACAGACTATTATGAAAAAGAAAGGAAATCATGTAAACTAGAGAAAAGAGCAGGTAAAGAGAAATTCATAACTCATAGGTTACTGAATTCCAAATAATGCAGGGACTGTCATGGGTAGTTGGAATGCAGTAGAGAGGTAGGAGAAATGAAGGACAACAGATGAGCCCTGGATTTTATAAAAAGAAGACATCATTCTTTTCAACTATTACAGTTACAAAGCAATCCAAACACTTAGTCAGAGAGTCATGTGCTCAATTAAAATGTATGTGCTTAATTAAATAATGGATGCAGTTGTTGTAAGGTATTACTGAGTAATGAAAATGTACTCTGGAGCTGGAGAGATGCCTTAGCGGGTTCTTGTCCTGCTGTTCTTGTAGAGAACCAGTTTTGTTCTCAGCACCCAAGTCATTGGCTGACAGCTGCCTGTAACTCTGGTACCAGGGGATCTGATGCCCCACTTTGGACTCCACAGGCACCCTCGCACATGTGTGCATATGCACAAACATACAACATATAGATATAAGTAAATCTTTACAAAGTATACTCCATTCAAGTCTGTGATTCATTTAGTCTTTTGGCTTTGGTACGATCCCCAGGGCCTTGCCATCCTCCACTGAGCTGTGTTCAAGCCCTTGTTTTCTTTTTAATAGAATAAGTAGAGTAGTATTTGTTGACGGGGTATGCTGTAATACTCTCTGAATCTATTACATCAAGTTTTTTTTTTTAATTGCATATATGAGTGAAATCATGTGGTTATTTGTCTTGTTGTATTTAGTGTAACATTCTCCAATTTAACCATATTATCACAAATGACAAAATCTCACATTTAACAGTTAGATAGTAGTTGCCATGCTTGTGCATGTGTGTAAATAAAATCCCCTTAAGAATGTCTATGTGTTGGTGGAAGGCAGGGTTGGTTCCATTTCCTGGCTGTTGTGCACAGTGCTTCCATAAACAAGGGGTCAGTAGGTCTGCAGCGAGCATGCTCTGCAGGTTTACTTGTGTCCCGTCTTTGAGCGCACACTCCAGAGTGGGACTGCTGCATCAACAGGACGGTTTTATTTTCACCTTTTGGAGAAGCCTCCATATTGTCCCCATCGTCCCATTTCCAGCAGCAGTGTCTTAGTGTTGTCTTCACAGCTTCCTCAGTGCCTTCTGCCTTCGTCTGCTGTCATACTTGCCGCACTGGGGTGAAGCAGCATAGTGCAGTTTTGTGCATTTCTCTAGTGCTTGGTGATGTCAAACACCTTTCCATACACCTGGTGGCCAGTGGCCACTATCCCATAATAGTCTATAATAGGTTTCAAACCTGTGTATCGATTTTTCAAGCAATAATTACCTAATATATTAGTAAAATAAATTTATAGCTTTTTAAAATGAAGTTCAATAATAATTTATTTTGCTTTCAACAGCAGATTACTATGTACCCAGTCCTGTCCATTACTGATTGGCAGTTTGGACACTAGAGCACTTGTCTTGAACTAGCCTTGGAGACTCATTTTATCTTACAGATTAAACATGATGATCTTGGAAGTCTTTATTGGAAGTGATTATTGATCATGGAATATTGCAGATTTTATGAAAAGTTAATATGTAATATAAGTGAGGTTTTTTTTTTTTTTTTTTAATTGTACTTAAGAAATCATTAGCTATTCACTGTCTTTGTACTCACAGTACAAAACTTCATTCAGGACATTCCAGAATAGATTAGCAGGTCAGTATTTAGAATGTTCTGCATAATGAATGTCACTCAAGTACTTCCAGGGTATAGTGTAGCAACGTGGGTTTGTCTCAGCACACAGGAGCGTTTTGTGTAAACTTCCCCTCTGAAAGTAAAATGCTCATTTTTCTCTCATAAGAACCAAGAGCTATTTATTGCCAGTGAGCAAGTTCTGAAAGATCAGCCCTCACTGATGCCGGTGAGTGAACAGGACTCTGACTTCTCAAATCACTATTCTAAAATCACTGTGCTTTTCTGATTTATTCACTCTGGTTCTTTGGAAAATGGACTATTTAAAAACAATCATTTAGAGTATGTTTTCTGTTTATACTTTCTCTTTTTCCTAATTTTATGAAATACAGTCATGTGTGAAGCACATCCAAATAAAGGTGTTTGATGGATGTAAACTTGCACTTTCTCTTTTCAGTAGTGTGCTGAAATACATCCAGTGCTTTCCTGAGATTCCTGTCACCTTTTCTTTTTTGGTCACAAGATCATCTTGTGACTTATACTGTTCTTCCCCCCTGGAAAATTATACATTATGACTGTGTGAAACAGCCTCTTACTTGTTCAGCCCTGTTTAAATACTGCTGAAAGTTTCTGTTCCAATCTTTACATATAAAACAATATTAAATATATTCCTATATAATTAAGATATTAAAATGATTTAGGAGCATAATATGAATAGAAAAATCGAGCAGTTTGATGATTGCACTTTGATTTGGGTGAATAAAATGGGAGGGCATTTTTTGGACACTGTGAGGTAGAGACTCATCATTCTTTTCATGTAGATATCTGATGGCATTGCATTATTTATTTTGGAAGTTTATATTTATCTATTGATGTTTGAATAAAGTTATAGTTTTGAATAGCAAATACATTTTTTTTTTCTGAGACAGGATTTCTCTGTGTTGCCCTGGCTGTCTTGGAACTTGCTTTGTAGACCAGAATGGTCTCAATCTCACAGAGGTCAGCCTGCCTCTGCCTCCAGAGTGCTGGGATTAAAGGCATGTCCCACCATTGCCTGGCAGCAAATACATGTTTAAGTTTTAATCTTTTAAAGATTATCTTTTATTGTTGTTTTCCAAATACACTTGCTACAAAACATTTATTATAGTTTATCATAGAAACCCAGGACTCAAGAGATTTTTTTTACAAACACTTTAATTATCATGCTCTTTGATTTCAATCTACTTAAATATATTTTGGGAATACATGTTCATAGGTATATTTATAATATATTCTTTTTTTTGGTCTTAATACTTAATGCAGAATCTTAATCTGCTCCTGTCCAATTTCAAAATCTCTTATTTTTGACCATTGCTTCTGGTATGAGACAGTTAAAGTTAGTTATTTAAATTTGCCATTTTATGTGAAATTCTCTTACATTCAAGTCGAGATTGTTAGTCTGTGACATTGAACCGTCAGTATTTTTTCTGATTTTTACTGTAATTATATGGAATATGAAATTTTAATTCTTCTGTCCTTGTGTGCTTTATTCCTCCCGACCAGCACTCCTGTTTCATCGCCCCTGACATCACTGGACTCCCAACGATACCAGAGAGTGTAAGTGTCTGTGAATACTTCTATGACTTCTTCATCTGACAAATGTGATTTTGTCCTCACTGTTTCTCTGTAGAGAAATTATGAAAGAGTAAGGAACCAGAGCATCTTCTCCTTTTGCTCTCTATGTGTCTATCCCATTATTCCTTTCTTAATGCCTGTGCTGATGAGGAAGGGAGGACAGAATGCCTGTCACTTGGATGGTCACTTAGGGCCTCACACACTCGGTTAGCTCTGGAGCTTGGCCGTCTGAAATGGGAGGAAGTGTAGAGGTGTGGCTTCTACCATTCGGGGATAGTGATAACAGGAAAAATTTCACTTTATAGTTATTTTGGTAAATGGACCATTGAATTTTAGACTTGTACTCTGTAACATTGTTTAAATCATCAGTGTCCTGGTTGTTGAGTTCATGGTTTTAATGTAATGTAGTAGGCATTTGATTAGACTTGAAGGTAGTGTAAAAACTAATAATGCTTGTTACATTGGTAATTGCACCTATGCTAGAAATACTTTGTGTTTCTCAAGAGTTATGAAAGTTAATACTTTCTGTAGGAGCTTACATAATAAGTGGAAATGGTGGATATACTTCCATGCCATTTGGTAACTGTGGGAAAAGGAAAATACCCCCTTCAGTTTTTCTTAGAACATAAAATAAATCAGTTATAAACCATCAAATCAAAGGAAAATCACTAGAAAGGTTTCCTTCAGGTGTTCTTGTATGCATTTCAGATGTATACTATTTTTCCATATAGTTTTCAAACCATTATAACATTTACTTTCTCAAACATAGGAATAGTGAGTGAAGGGCAATTATGCAAACATAAATTCTGCTTGTGCTTTCATGTGTGTGGGTCGCCATGTGTACGTATACATGTGTATGCATGTACATGAGTGCACGAGGAGACTGGAGGTCAGCAGTAGCCATTCTCCTCTATTATTCTCAGCCTTGTTTTGTGAGAAAGGCTGGAGCTTGAGCTTACTAATCTTTCTTGAAATCTACATGCCTCACCTCTCAAGTACCAGGATTACAGGAGTATGTGGCCACGTCCGGATTTTCACTTGGATGCTGAGGATCTCAGCTCAGGTCTTCATGTTTGTGTGGCAAGAGTTTTACCTGCTCAGCCATTTCCCCAGCCCCCCAATTGTAAATTTTCTAATATCAAACCAAGACTGTCAAATTAAAACTTTGTACAAGATCAGTCCTATGAATTCCATTGAAAGGGTTTCTCTCAGATAAGTTCTATCAAAAGACTTGGCATAAACTTGATCTTACAGCGTGGCTCAGGATAGACTATGCAGCTCTCAGGTCTCATAATGAATCCTTGACTTTTGTACCTGATGGACATAGGCTTATGGCTGCTAACTGTTTTCTGACTCAGATGTCTGTGACCTTGTCACTCGGAAGTCTTGCAGAGTTACTCTTCTTCTTCTTGCCCTTTAGTTAACGTGCATTTAGTTGCATTCACTAGCAAACAGCTAATAGTTTCCATTTTAGTTTTTACTTTTTACATATCTAGAAGTGGGGGAGAGGAGACAGAGTGAGGGAGAAGACAGACAGACAGACAGAGGGTGAGACGGGGGGTTGGAGAGAGAATATGAATGAATGAATTTGTGCAGGTTAGTTGACGGTTTATGAGATTTAGCCCTCACTGTCTGGGTCTGAGTGATTGAATTAGGTTATCACGTAAGTAAGTGCCTTTCCCTGCTAAGCTATCTTGAGAGCTCTAGTTTCATCTATAGAGACTTTCATTTTCAAATATTTAAAGGAACAAACATTCCATTAGAAACCAGTTACTGAGAACATAAAAAAGTAAACTTGTATGTTATCATTGACATACCTTCCCACTGTCCTGTTGAGAGAAACAGCACAGAAGCACCCAGCAGGGCTCTATGTTGGAGGGCAGTTCTCCACTTAGGGGTGGCTTTGGGATAGCACAAGTAGCTCTGCTGCACGTTATAAAGGAAATATTGTCATCGAGTTGAGTTGGGAGGTGAAGGACGCTTCACAGACAATAGGAAGTGAGCCTCTCCCCAACAGGTTGAACACCACGCAGAGACTTCAGATATTATGTATTTGAGATGTTATGATTGACAGTTTGTCTTATAAAATCCCTGCCTTCTACCAGTTGGAGAAACAGGAAGCTTTCTTATGTTCTTGCCCCCCACCCCCAAGTTTCAGCCTTTCAGATCTTTATCTGCTGTACTCTATACTTTCTGTGCATTAGAATATTTGCTTTCTAAAATGCTTTTATTTTTTTTAAAACAGCAAGTTGGAAGCAATTCCTGAGGACAGGCCCTAAGCAGCACTGTTAGTGTAGCTCCTCCCCATTTTGTATTGTAGTGGAGTCAGTCTACTGTGTATTACTTTGAGGAATCAGTTTAGAACATCACAGTTACGTTTGACTATAATAACAAAAAGCAAGCCTGATGAGGGGTAAAACCTAGAGATTTTCTTTAATAAGGAAGCACCGGATGGTTTATAAATCCCCCTTCTCTGTTGGGTGCCTTGGGTACCAGAGAGGGAATAGTAAACATGAAGTAATTCAAATGTGGTTTTCCAGAGTAGCAGTTTCACAGGCATCAGTGTACATGTGAATCACCAGGAGCACTTGGTTAACACTGGGGTCCCTGGAAACGTGCTCTAAAGATAATAAGTCAGTAGGCCTCCACTGGAGCTAGAAAAATGGTGGTGTGGGGAGGAAGACTGGAGTGAGATCCATCCTGTGGTCATCCTCTGAGAAATGCTTGTATAGAATAGACGAGGTTTTAGATGATGGTAGGATGTAGCAATGTCATGTGGCAGCAGAAGAATATTACATTTAATTATTATTAATGAATGCCCTTCTATTAATATCTTCTTTTGAACTTTAAGACTGGTAAATGTATAAAATGTTTTCCCTTATATTTCTGTGAACTGCAGCTCAAACAATTCTTTTCCCTTGTCCAGAGAAACCTGACAGAGTACTTCGTTGCTGTGGATGTGAACAACATGCTGCGACTGTATGCCAGCATGCTGCATGAGAGGCGCATCATTATTACCTCGAGCAAATTAAGCACTGTAAGTCCTTCACACTTCTCCTTTGACTAACACATATTGAGTGCTTCACAAAAAGACCTAAAAACGTCTGCAGATTTAGAGCTGCACTACATGTACTTAAAAGACAATATCTACATATTTTTAATATATGGTTTGAAACTGGCTCTTGGAGTATAAAAGTCTGATTTATAGAAGCCTTCCCAGATGCATTAAGTCAGGTTAATTATTTTCCCTTATCAGGAGATGAGGTGTTTTTTTCCCCCTGCTTTTAAACTCTCTGGAGTTCATTTTAGTGCCTTCATCACACAGAGAACTCTTAAGAGCTATTATGAGATCTTTATTATTCACTTGTGGCTTTTTCCATTGGAGCTACTTGAAAGAAACTGCGGGGCCATGATAATAGCTGCTCTCCTAACCTGGGAATAGCAGATTCATCTTTGTTGCCGTGTGGGCTCAGGAGTAGATTCTATAATAGTTCTGGTTTGGAGGAGCTCTTCAGGCTGATAATAACTCAAAAGTCAAAGTAGCATTTTTATAAATCACAGGTTTTATGGCACTCACTTCGATGTTCGTCTGGAGGCTCTTCATTACTATGGGAAAGGCAGGAATAGAAAGACTTTTCTTAGGTAACAGAAGAATATTCAGAAGTATTTTGTTAGAATTCATATTTTCTTCATTAAATATAAAATTTAGTATTTTCAGATTCAAAATGTATAAAATAAGTTAAGTGATTTGAGTAATATGTGGTATATTAAAACCATCTTAAATTGTTTCTTCATAAATTTACTTAATGTAAAACAAAAATCTACTTTTAATATTTTATTCTCATACAATAGAAATAAAATGCCTCTTTAAAAATATTGTAGCATTTTAGATTAGATAGAGGTCTGACATTTCTCCAGGTTATCACGTTAGTGTTTAGTCTTAAGGAAGGCATTTTCTCAGGCTAGAGAGATGGCTCAGTGGCTAAGAGCACTTCCTGTACTTGCAGAGGGTTGGGATTTGTAGTGGTTTGTAACATCAGTTCCAGAGGTCTTTTGACCTCCATGGGTACAAGGCATATATGTGGTACACACACAGATGTGCATGTAAACTCCATACACATAAAATTAAAAAATAAAGCAAAACAATAAAAAACAAGGCATTTTCAGAGAAGTTAAATCACCATTCCAACACCAAAAAACTATTGGAGATCCATAGTATGAGCCAAAACAGGTCCTGATTCTTTGTAGGGGGCCACACCTGTCACCCTAGAGTTGATTGCATACAAATTTGAGGTATCGAGTATATAATATTCTTATATTCATTATTTTCCAAATTGAAAATGTTTATCTTGAAAATGATGAGATGTTAGAGGAAACTGTATGGCGATAAGAGGAGAGACATCAGAGAACGAGGACTATGAGTGATCTTAGTAATTGTTTTCTCTCCTGGTTTGAAAGAGTGGTTGAGGACTCCACATGAGTGATTTGATGTTTTAATGTTTACTCTTCCATTCAGGGCTTGCCATTGATGTGCAACCAACCATCCTTTATCTTCCCCTTTCTGCTCCTCTCCTTATTTTCAAGATTTTAAAAATATTTTTGATGAGAATTATTCTCATGATGACAAAAATTTTTGTATGAGCTCTCTTATAGATTTAGGAAATAATTCATGCATAAAATATTTTTGTGCCTGGCATTTTCCTAGATACTGTAAGTTTATCCATAAGACTACCAAGGCCAGTTTGTATGCTCATATTTAACTGGCATGAAATATATAAACAGCGGAACAAATAAGCATATTATGTCATATGGAATGTGTACTAATGTTTGTTTTTTGGCCCTTTTTTGGGGGCCCATCACCCAGCTCTCAGATAAATCACACCCAGAGCCTTATTGTTCCTTATGAATGCCTGGCCTTAGCTTGGCTTAGTTTCTAGCCAGCTTTACTTAACTTAAAATTAACCCATCTGTCATTTGCCTCTGGGCTTTTCCCTTTCTCTTCTGTAAATCTTATTCTCACTCTGTGGCTAGCTGTGTCATTGGGTGGCTGGCCCCTGGATGTCCTTCTTCGTCTTTGGCTCCTTTTTCATTTGTGGAAGCATGGTGTAATGTTAGTTTTATTATATTTTTACATTTTTAAGTTTAATGTGCTAGGACATCATTGGTTTTGCCTGTATTATTTGATGCATACATTGCCAAGGACACAGAATGACTTCTGCCAGTCCCAAACAAGCTAGTTGATTTTATGCATGCTGTAGGCAGGCCTAATGTTTTAAGCCCGAGTGAATCCTGGTAGACTAGCACAGCATCATATCCTGGCCTCCTCTATTCAAAGCAGAGGAATAAATCATGATACTACACAGTTGTATTAGTTGACTTATTGCTGTTTTGTGACCGTAGATAGGGAGGACCGCTGTTTAAAGCCATGTCATGGGTTCTCAAATCAGTCAGGCATGAAGCCTTGTCATATGCTTCTGTAATTGTACCTCACTAGACTGCCTCTAACTAGTCAGCTGGGGCTGTGCATTTTGTCTCAAACACCCAGCTGGCCAGCGTCTGACAGGAGCTTTCTCATCATCCTGTCAGTAATATGTTAACTAGGGTGTGCATTTATGGTTTGTAGAAGCAGGTAAAAGGGATGTATCTCTTTAAAGCAGATGTCTAAATGTTAGCACTGTTTTGACCAACGTACAGTTGGTAAGTATCATCCTCTTAATGATGTCTGCACATCATTTACAGAGAATTGATTATATATGCATATTATTTCTGGAATATTTAGAGCAAGTGGTATGCTGTGAGTGCTGGAATTGTGCTAATAAATTGTATGTTCTTCTTTGTTATAGCTTCCCCCAGGCGTTTAAGCATATGCTTTTCTTTCACCTTCTCATTAATTCCATCAAAGGGCATATGCAGAAAAACATCTTGTGATCCCCAGCAAATCAGCTATTAAACAGTAGTTTTTATAGGCTTTGACTAAGGGGAGTCTAGAGCATTTTAACATCCTTAGCTGCATTGTATATATTCATTTTTGTCTCTTAGTGGAGCCATGTATATCTTCATTTAGCTGAAACTTAAAGCACAGAGACTCTTTAGATTAAGATTGAACAGTTGATGGGAGAACAAAGTGTACCCAGGTTTGCTTCCTGATTGAAGTTGTTGACGTGGGTTTGCCTTGTGTTTTTAACACAGCAGCAGAGAAATGCAGTTAAAATTTTTTATCTGGACTTTTCTAAGAGGTCTTCTAGGAACAATTTTTAAATTTTGCAATATCCACAATCTATAGACTCTAGTAAGTTCCCTGAAACTGTGGATAATGACTCTGCTCACCAGTGTATTATTTGACAGGTATACACTGCCGTACTTTACAGTGTATTTCCAATCATCCTTTTGTGAATGTGACTAAGTGTGGAAATGGCTGTGTTGAGGTCCTTGTGAAATGTTTTGCAGGAAGGCATGTTGTGCAGGTTAAGAGGAGGTGGAGGCCTTTAAAGAAAAATACCAGCACCTCTATTTTCCCTCTCTCAGAGTTACCCCATTTTCCAGGGAAGTATGCATGTTTTTCTGCCCAAGAGTTTGGCCGATTTGTTTTTTGAAAGCATAACTTGGCCTTGACTTCACGCAGCAGAAGGGCAGTGTGACAGCCGTGGAGCTGGGTGAGCGTTGCATTTAGCTGCCATGCAGGTTCTCTCAGCTTCACTCCTACAATGCTGGTCATCAAAAATTGATCCTGGGTTATTTCTGTTAACTGAATTGTTTTCTATATAGAACAATGACTTAATTTTGTGCTATTGATTATAAATATCAAATGAAAGGAAAGATACACACACACACACACACACACACACACACACACACACACACTCACGCACACACCCATTCGTTTTCAGGTTTGGCAGCATTTCTCTTTTGATGTGTGCCCTCAGGTTATAAACTCCCATGCAACTCACTGTAGATGTTGCACTCAGCATTGTCAAAGAGAACTCATCAGATTTTTCCATGATCACTTCCCACTATTTAGGGCTGATTTGGTAAATGGCCTCACCCACTCATGCATCTACTATAGAGTCTGAGTCTGTAATTCCTTTTTCTCTGATTCATGCTCTCCATTATAGCTGCCCACTGTCTTAGTTAAGGAGACTACCACTACCCACAAACATTCCTTTTAATAGTATATAGTGAATGCTAACATCTCAGTTTGCATATGATGTTATCAGTATCATCTCTGTAACAGTGCATATTGTGAGTTAGTCTCCTTTATGAGCAAATAATTTGAAATGATTTAATCATCATTTACTATGGGATAAGTGCTGTTGGTATCTAAGTAGACAGATGAAAAAGAGCATTTTTGAAACATAGGGCAAACTTTCCAACCTCATGAAACTAGTGTGTAGTTCAGTCAGTTTGTCTCACTCTCAAACTGTGTATTGTCAGTCTTCATGCAGTTCTACCCATCTGCCATGGCTGTCTTATAAAACCAAATAGATCTTTGTTTTTTCCTACCACAGCATCATCCACAGTACTGAACTCCATCCTCTTCTCAAGCTCAGTCAGACTCCTGAATGTCTCAGTTTGTTTCCTCTCTCTTAGTTTTCATGGTGGTGTGAGTGCTCACATTCATCTTCTGCTTACTACTCATATCAGTAATTTTGAGATTAAGCCTGTATATAATTAATTACTCAATATTTTAGGTTAAAAAATAACATATTCATTGCCTATTTCCCATGCACTTAGTTGGCATTGAATGCTACCTACCCTATCCTACCCAATCTCTAGAGAGCAAAACCCTTGAGGCAGACTTTATTTCCTCTACTTTTATTTTACTGAAAATAGACTTTTTTTCATACAATGTATTCTAATTATTGTTTTCCCTCCCCCAAATCCTCTAAGATCTTCCCTATCCTACCCCATCAGAATCCACACTTTTTCTTTTTCTCATTAGAAAACAAACATCTGAGGAATAATAACAAAATAAGATAAAACAAAAACAAACAAACAAGAATAGGACAAAACAAATAAACAGAAGAAAACAACGAGCCA